GGTTAGGATACAGCACTGCAAGCTGGCCACAGCTGCCTCAGTGTTTGTTTGATCCCCGGCCCCGGAGGTGACCCACACGGCACAGCAGACATCTTCTGACCCGCCCGCTGCTCCCCTCAGCAGTGTACTTCATCCATCTGCCTGTTCCGCTTCCCACTCTGTCTCTGGTGAAGCCTCTCACCACCCTTGCACTTCTGGCATGTATGAACCCCAGTACATGCATAAATAAATAAATCTTTAAAAAAAAAAAAGGTCACAAAACAGAAGTACAGATGTTTGCTTGTTTCCTTTGTCAGTTGTCAGAGAAGAAATTAGTCCTTTAGCAACCTCCAAAGGCATCAAAGGTGTTTAGAAGTATCATTACATATTCACAATTGTTTATCATATATAAATGTTTATATATGTATATATCATATATAAATGTTTATCTCAATAAGTAATAACCATTATTCTTTGAAGATGCATGAAACAGTCCATCTGTTCTGCTTTTAATGATAACAATAACGATGCATGGATTTTAAGCCCAGGGAAAACAAGACTATCTAGGCAGAATTTATTTACATTGCATTGTTTTCTGTTCACAAAAAATAATATTTATTTCACTTTTATGCTGTTGACATGTTGATTTTAAATATGGACAGAAAAATGTCAATAATCCTCAACAAACCAAATTTAGCAATATGAAAAAACATTACACAATTCAATTAAAGTAGTTCAAAGCTACTTTAATGTTAAAAAATGCAAGAAATCTGATTTACCATTTTAATAGGATAAAGGAAAAAGTGATTGTCTCAATAAAAGTACAAAGTGAGCAGAAAGCATTTAACAAAATCCAGTATCCTTTCATGATTAGAAATAGTTACTGAGAAAGGAAATTTCTCACCTTGATAAAAGATATGTAGCAAATCTCATGACTAACATATTTAATGGTGAAAACCTTTATGATTCTCCCCTAAGATCAGGAATAAGATAAGGACTTTTGTAATGTCAAGGGATTCTAAGTAGGTCAACTAAGCATGCAAATGAAAGGGTGAGTAGGTGAGAAGTAAAACAATCTCTATTTACAAATAACATAATCATCTATATAGAAAATACCAATAAATCCATCAAAAAACCAATAGAACTAATAAATACTTTCAGTAAGATGAAAGGTTTTGATAGCACCAATAGGGGCCTCCCTGGTGACCCAAGGGGTTAAGTCTCAGCACAATGAAGCTCTCAAAAGCCACTGAAGCCCAAGTTTGATCCCTGGCCAGGGAGCTGACCCACAGGGCACAGCAGACCTCTCCTGGCTCACTTGCTGCTCCTTTCAGCAATATATTTCAGTAGATCTGCCTGTTCTGTTCCCTATTTACTGCCTCTGGTGAATCCACTTACCCACATACCTATGGCCTGTACCCCAGTTCTTCACTGTAAAAATGAAATCTTTTTTAAAAAATAAACCAGCTAACAAAAATTAGCTTTATTTTTATACATTTGTGACGAATAACAGAATAAAATGAACAAAACCATGCCATTTATAATAATATCAAATAATATGTGGGAATAAGTGTAACACAAGGAATTGAAAACTTATACTCTTAAGATGACAAAGCATTTTTGGAAAGAAATTTAAGACCACCTAAACAAATGGAAGGTATGTCATATGTACAGATCAGATTATTTAGTATTCTTGAAATGATAATACTTAAAAAAATCATTTTAGCACATTACCTATCAAAATTTCAGCTTTGTAGAAATTGAAAAAGGGATCCTAACATTCATAGAGAAAGCCAAAGAATTCAAGAACAAATTGGAGGATTCATAATTCCTGGTTTCAAAACGTACTAAAAAGCCACATTTGAAGACTCCATCCACAACATGGCATACTAGAGAGCCTGGGGTCACCTTCTCCCCTGAACACAGCTATTGAAAAAATTGTATTTGTTCAAAGGAAGACTCAGGATTTTCCCACGGAGATCTCAAACTCAGTTGTAGAATGGATCAAAGTGCACATTCTTGACCCAGGTTGCCTGTGATGGAATACTTTCCCATTTCTTGAGGAGGTGCAGGACCTTGGGTGAGTTATTTAGATTCCTTGTTTCTCAGGCTATGTGCTTGTAAAACCAGGAATCATAGTAGAATCTCCTCATAGTCTTGTAGGGTAGGATTTATATGATTCACACAAGCATAATTCTGAAAGGTGTATATAGTAAATGTTTGTCAAAGGCTATTTCTTTTATATTTATGATACTGACAAAGGTACATTTAGGAGAATCTGGAATGAAGTACCCAGAATCTTGTTAAGGAAATTATAGAAACCTTTTTTATTTTTTTTAAGATTTATTATTTATTTACCTATGCATACAGAAATGGGGCAAAAGCCAGAGGTGCAGGGTCAGTGAGACGATTCACCAGAGAGAGAGTGGGGAGCAGAACAGGCTGACTGATGAAGTACACTGCTGAGGGGAGCAGCAGGAGGGTTAGGGAAAAAGGCACACTCAGGCCCGCCCTGGTGGCACAATGGGTTAAAGTGCAGCACTGTGAAGCTAGCCGCAGCCACTGCAGCACAAGTTCGATCCCCAAGCAGGGAGGTGACCCACATGGTGCTGCAAACCTCACTTGCTCCCCACCTCCGCAGTGTATTTATAAAAAGAAAAGTAAAAAAACAGGATCTCGTGGGGGCTGAAGCAGAGGTACATCCTGCAGGGGCCCAGGGAAGGGCTCTTTCACTTCTGTGCTGAGTCCTTCTGGGGCTGCACAGGAGGGGAGCCTGAGGCTGGATCTGTGTCAGCCTCAGCAGGCTCAGCCCAGGTAGGGGCCTGAGAGGAAGCTCAGGGGAGGAAAGCTCAGGGGACGGCGTGCCCCTGAGGGGCCTGGGCGGGACTCCAGAGGCTGAGGCTGATTCTTTGCCTGGACATCTGCCAAGAACTTCCTGAGAAGCGGATGTTAGTCTTCCGCTTCCTGTTGCCAGGACAAAAAGGGCTGAGCATTTGATGAGGCCTTGGAGTAAAAAAAGACTTTTAGCAGAAAGGAGAAATGCAGAGGCCGTGGACACAAGTCAGCCTGGGGTGAGCTCAGTACCCAAAGCACAGGGGCTCTGAGAAACACACTTGGGTGTGTTATGTGCTAACTGATGGTGTTAAACATGCAGACACAGGAGAGTCACACAAATACACAGCCTGCTTACCATGCATCGTCCCCCCTTCAGGCTTATTGGGTTGAGTCAGAGGGGAGTCCAGAAAGGGGGCTGTGCTCCAGGCAGGTTGGAGGAGGAACGGGACTGAGTGGGCAGAGAGAGGATCCCCGGAAACATCTCAGGCGTCTCGGCTCGAGTCTGCCAGTGATTTCTTCAGCACTGGGCACCTACTACCCTACAGCTCTCAGCCCTAAACTTAGGGCACAGGTATGGAGACCAACCCCCTCCCCTTGAGGGGCTCACAGTAGCCCCAACTGGGGAGCACTAGGTTCCCTGGGAGTGCTGAGACTGAAAGGCATTCATTGGGCACCAGGTGAGGTGAAGGGGTGGGGGTTTCAGGAGCCCAGGAGGCAACAAATCCCTCAGGGTGGAACCCGGAGTTGAGAGCAGCAAAAAACAAGGTCAGGAGGGTGCCAAGTGCAGAATTCTCGAGGCCTCATGACCCCAACAAGTAGGGGTTCCCCCAGAATCGTGCAGGGTTGGGGGCTGGCACCAGAACATCACAGAAGCCCAGGACTGGGCTTCAACAGCAGGTGCCCTGAAGCTGCAGCTGCTCTGTCCCTCCCAGGATCCACCTGGGAGCAGGTGCCTGTGGTCTCACCAGCTACTGTTCTGGTCCGGACCCTGTCACCACTGGGATGGGTTTTGTCACCAAAACCCATCTCCAACTAGCATGCTTCAAAGGGAGAAGTGTCCGTCCTACCAAATGGGAAGTCTGTATGGTTAGCAGGGTGTTCTAGGCATGGTGGCCCCAGGATAAGTGCCATTTGCGTGGCCCCATGGGGAGGTGCCGTCTGAAGACCCAACGTCATCTTCTTCCCACTTAAGCTCCCTTCTAAGGAAACTTCTAAGGAAGTTCCCAGAACTGTCTCTCACCATTTTTGAATCAGCCTTGGCTCACACAGCTGGTTTTGGCTCATGTGTCCATCCTGCAGGCCTGGGAGGACTAGCAGGCTCTGTCCACATCATAGGAACTAAGTGTGGGGAGGGTCCTAGACCTTTGGAAGGAGGGATGCTGGGCAGGCAGAAATAGTGACTGGCCTGAGTCAGAGGCTCTCGAGAGGATGGATGCAACCATCCCAAGTGCAGGCTATCCTGAGTGGACCATCTGCACCGACCCTAGGCAGGAAGTTGGGAGGAAACACTGTGAAGTTTGTGGACATGAGGTTCCCTTCAAGGGAGTAAGTGCATGGCCTGTGGCGCTTGGGATGTTGTCTGAACTGCACCAGTCATAGCTGAATGTCCTTAAACAGCCCTAGTTGGGGGAGCTTGGACAGACAAGTGGGCATGGACAGGTCAAGGGGGTCAGGCCTGGGAACGCATGATTTATGTCCAGGTGAGAGACAGCGAGGCAGGGCAGGGATTGGAAGGTGGCACAGAGGGTGCATTTGAGAATGACTGGGAGTTGGTGACAGCTGGGAAGTGGTAGCAGTTGGAGGATCAGGTAAGAGCCTCCATTGTCCTGGACACAGATCCAGGATAAAAGGAGGTCTAGAAAGCCAGCTGGGACCCGTGGAGCTGCAAGGACTGGCGAATATCGGGTTATCGTGTCAGGCGGACACATCCACTGCCTGGGCAGGCAGCTTGGGTTTTGCTAGCACAGAGCCAGGCACAGAAAGGGCAAGAATGACTGAGAGGAAGTGGCTATCACCAGTCAGTTGTTCTGTTTCCTGTCTACTCAGTCCACCCAGGCTCTTTGACTCTTTCTGGTTTTGGTTACACCCATTCTGTTCAACCTCCTTCCTCTGAAAGGGGTGGGGTGAGCAACCATTGTTTCTGCTGGGCCAGTCTCGATAGGAGATTGGGTTGATAAGAAGTCCAGTCAGCCTCTCTCAACGATCCAGACCTGAGAGCTCCAGGCAGGCACCATGAAGGACGAGGTGGCGCTTCTAGCCACTGTCACCCTCCTAGGAGTCCTGCTGCAAGGTGGGCTGGCTCCTACTGGGAAGGTGGGTGGGTCTCAGAGTCCTGCAGACTGCCTTTTGTCTTCTAGGATCCCCATGAAGGGCAGGGGCAGGGGTGGGAGGCTCCAGAGATGAGGGGCTGGCACTTTTCTGGGGGAAAGCCCTGAGAAATGTATTCAGGGCAGGTGAACTGAAATGATGGGCAGGGACAAAGGGTGAAATGGTACCTTTCAAGGGGATAGGACAGCAAAATGGATATTGGTTTTAGGTAGCAACTGTGTTAGGAATGCCGATGTCTGGCTAGGGGTTGCGGTGGTGGCCCCTTTATCAGAATAAGGAACTCTGGAAGAGAGCAGGAACTTTCAGGGAACAGGCAGGGAGTCCAGCTGTATATGGACATGGAGAGGGGCCTGTGCCACGATCAAAGGGTGGTCAAGTAGGTGACCATGACCTGGTGCTGATAAGCTCTAGCCAATCCCTCTCCTCTTCAACTGTCCTTTTTCTCAAAGTCCCCACAGGAAGGCCTTATCTATCTTCCCTGCCTTCACAGGCAGGGACCATGTGAAATCAGACAAGACTGGAACCTATTCCCTGCCCCACCCACCCTTCCCAAGATGCCTATTTGGTGCCATTCTCAGGCCAGTCCTGGGGGATACATTCCTAGACTAGATAGTCCTGCTCCAGACACTGTTGCTGGGTACGGAATGGGTATGACACAGCACAGTCTGGGGCAGGAGTTTGGAGGGGCTGAGCAGATGGACTGAACTGATCTCCAGCCATGCCAACAAGCAGCCACTGGCCCACTTCCAGGTCTGGCTCTGTGCCAGCCAGCTTTGACACTTCCAGTGCACTTAAGATGGGCTACGTCTGGTAACAAGGGCACCCCGGCCACAGGACTTGTAGGAAAATAGTTGGAGACACCTGGCATCGGGGTTGTGTGTGTGGGGCCAGACCTGACGCCAAGAGAGAATCCCTCAATATTCAAAGCCCCTACAGCCAACTCTCTCCTCTGTACTTAACTATGCAGTGCCCTGTGGGGCAGGGGTTGGACTAGAAGAGTCCCAGTTGCAACCACCTGGGTTAGGGGACAAGATGCCCCAGAATTTAGAGTCCAAAATGCCTGAACAGATAAATGAGGCAATAGCCCATGGCACAGTTTGGAGGCCCAGGGACACAGGCTTGGGTGACTCTAGCCTGCGGCAGGGTCAGGAGGTCCCTACCAGTGGGCTCAGTAGGTAGGGGCCGAAGGACTGTTGAGTCTCAGAGTGTATGCTCCCCTGCACCTGCAAGGATGTAGTCAGCCATGCACCTAGATGCTGGTGGCACTCACTGTCCATGTAGGGACCCCAGAGCCAAAGGTCTAAGTCTAGAGATTGGGAGGGTAACTTTTGCCTGTGTTTTGCAAGTCAAATAATTGAAGAGCAATGTCTTGCACAGGCAGCTGCTACCTCAGGTAAGGGCTCTTCAGAACTGGGTGAATTATCCCCTGGCGCCCCAGGACCACACCCTGCCCCCATGGGTGTCCTACAGCCACCCTGGGCTCAGAAGTCAGGAAGGAGGCAAAGGGACAGGAGAGAGCAAAGGGTCCCCTCTCAAGAACTTAAAAAGGGAGATCTGCCCAGTTCAATCGAGGAGTGGGAAAGGCCGGGACCCCTCTGGGAGCTGGCCAGAGGGAGGCCAGAACTTACTCCTGCCCTTTTTTGCCCCCAGCCTACTTCTCCTGGCAGGTGATCTGGGCGCGCAGAACCTTCCGCGTGTCGCCACCGCTCACCAACGGCCCCCCAGAGTTCGAGCGCATCTACCGAGCCCAGTGAGGCGCAGCGGGAGGGCTGGGGAGGGGAGCCAGCGGCCCTGGGCAGGGCAGGGTCTGAGGCACCCTCACCTTAAGCCACCGTGTCCCCACTGCAGAGTCAACTGCAGCGAGTACTTCCCGTTGTTCCTCGCCACGCTCTGGGTCGCAGGCATCTTCTTTCACGAAGGTCGGGGCGCGGGGCAGGGGCTGAGCACCGGAGCCCTCGGGGTGCCCGCTGCGGCTGGCTCACCTCGCCCCCGCACTCCTCTCCAGGTGCGGCGGCCGCGTGCGGCCTCTTGTACCTATTCGCGCGCCTCCGCTACTTCCAGGGCTACGCGCGCTCGGCCCAGCAAAGGTGAGTACCGCGTGGTGCCCGCGGGCGCGGCTGGCCGGCGGGGCGGGGCGGTCGGGACCGGGTGGGTGGGCCCGAGGGAGGCGCGCGGGGCCGCGCGGGGCTTTTGTGCGCCGCCCCGCCCCCGTCGAGCACCGCCCGCAGGTTGGCTCCGCTGTACGCGAGCGCGCGCGCGCTCTGGCTGCTCGTGGCGCTGGGTGCCCTGGGCCTGCTCTTCCACTTCCTCCCCACGGCGGCGCGCGCCGCGCTCCTCAGACGGCTCAGGAAGCTGCTGCCGTGGGCCTGAGATAGAGGACGTCGGGTCGAGGAGCAGAAGAGCTGGGGCGTCTTGGACGACGGGGGAGGGGTGTGCACACCCATCCTGGGCTCAAATTAAAGCGCCTATTACAGGACCGGAATGCACTCTCTGGGTTGAAAGGGTGGCCAGTGAGGACTGTGAACCCAGAAGGGAGCCAGGCTTGGGCCTAGCAGTAGCCTAATTGTGGGGTGGAATAGAGGCTTGACTCAGTAGTCTCATGCCCTGCCCCCAGTGCCTGGAGCCCACTCCCCCAAGCCCTAGACCCCCGCTCCCTCCAGGTTCTACCTGCTTGCTGTATTCACTGGTCTCCCCTGTCCATATCCTCTGTCAAGGGGCCTCAACAGCCCTATCCCTACTCTCCTGATCATCACAGCTGACACCAGGGACTTTTTATCAGCACCCAATTCCTGGTGTCTCAGGGTCTGTGGAGAGAAGTAGGCTGGAGAGTGAAGAGGGGTAGAAGTTAAGTTCTAGCCTCTGGGAGTCCCAGTGTGCCCCCTGACCTCCCTTGTGACTCTCTCTTTATGAAGGGCCCTCATGCTCTCCCTGCCCCCCCACCCCCATCCCTTTCTGGGCTACTTGTCTCCAAGCTCATCCTCTGCCCATGACACATCTCCTTGCTGTGGTGGAGTCATAGGGACTACCAGTGTAGTCAGTATAGGTGGGAACTGTGCTCGCACCATGGCAGGATGCCTTGAGGAGCCAGGCCCAAGGAAGGCCTGCCCCGCACACCTGAGGGGCCCTAAAGAGCTGATTTTGCACCCAGCTGCAGAGAGAGCTGCTCGGCCCTCCTGCAGGGCTTCCTTGTCGGGCTGGGGATTCTGGGAGCAAGATCAAAAGCAGGCAACAACATGTGCAAAAGCTTCAGTGTGGGCTTCAAATGTATCAAGGGTGGGGCAGGAGAGGGAGATGAGTGAGCAAGACCAGGGGACTGTGGAGAAAGGCAGGGCAGAGATGGTGGGGGACAAAGAGCCTGGGCAATGTTATCGATGTGAGAGGCAGTTGGGATGGGAAGACAGGAGCCAGAGGCTGCACTTGGGGTAGGGCCCTCAGGAATTGTGAGGGGCCTGGATTCAAGACCCATTGCTGGCTGTTTACAGTCAGGAACGTCCAGGAAATGGGGCAGACGTTGTGCAGAGCTTCTGGGAGGGTATGTGGAGCATGTTGATGGTTTGGCCAGGCATCTGGCAGCTGGCTCAGGGTGGCATCCCTGGATTAGGGCCGCCCCTCACCAGCCTCAGCTAGAAGCACTGACAGATGAAGCACACACTTCATTAACCCTTTATTACAAGTCACGCTCTTATAGAAGTATATGTGGACTTACGTGAAAAAATCAAATGTATCCAAGAATAAAAAACACAGCACATAAAGTAGTATATGCATTCCAGTGTTCGCGCCGGGGACAGCAGGCGCCCAGGAAAAAGCTCTTCTAAAATGGCCTGGCTCAAGCCAGCTGGGGTGCGAACAGTTCTGGGCAGCATGGGCCTGCCTCAGGCACAATGTGGGGACCGCCTGCCTCCTCCCTCGGCCTGGCGGGCGGGGGCAGCACCAGCTCCTAGGGCCTCCGGGCCAGCGGTGACCCCAGGTGGGCTGAGGGGGCGCACCAGGCAGGACCCCTCAGTCTGGGGTGGCTGAGCCTGGCCCTCCAGGGGCAGCTGTGACAACATCTCAGGACTCTGTGGGCTTCAGAACCCAAAGAAGTGCACCCTCAGAAACCCTCGCCTTAGTCCGCTTTTTTCAGGAAGATCTGGAAGAGTGGGGTTCAGGGTCAGCCCAGGCATGATCTAGCCACTGGAAACAGCTTCCTGGTCCCCACACCCCGCCCTGCATGACTCACCTCACTCAGAATAACCCACACTGGGGAATCTGTCTGGATGGAGAGGCGGAGAGCTTCCAGGGGGCCGAAGGCAGGGTCCACCTCACCTTCTGCCACACCCTTGTAGAAAGAGCCTGGAACAGGACAGTGCTGAGATGTTTCCCTGCTGAGCCCAGCCTCCCTGCTTCCACATCTACCCATCTGTGCCTCCACTCACCAATCTGGAGGTAGCCGTCAGGGCTCCGAGGGTACCGTAGGGTAGCTGCTCGGCCCTCCTGCAGGGCTTCCTTGTCGGACTGGGGATTCTGGGAGCAAGATCAAGGGGCTGAAGCCAGTGGCTATGGGTGGGGAAAGGCTTCTTGCACATCCACACCCTGCCACACTCACATCAAAGGGCAGCACCTCCACAGATGTGTTGAAGAGCTTGTCCTCAGGGTGCTCAATGTTGCCACTGCGGAAGAAGAACCTGCAGATAAACAGGCTTGTGAGCTGCAGCAGGCACACTGCCTGGCAGAGAGAAGGCCAGGTCTGGGCCAGGGCTGCAATAGGTGGGCCCCAGGGTTCTGAATGCCACCAGGCACAACTGTTGGCGAGGCAGCTAGGGCCTTACTCAGGGAAGAAGTGCTGAGCTCCTAGTTCCTGCCTGACTCAGTTTCAGAAGGTAGCTACTATTACTACTCCACTTTTCATGGTGAGGTGAAGTGATTTGCTGGGGGTCACAGAGCAGATGGAGAAATTTTTGATGAGGCCTGTATTCTGGTCGCCACCTGCCCTGCCTGCAAAGGTTGACCTGTAGGTCCTGGTACTTACCGTTCAAGACGCAGTGGCTGGAAGAAGCGGAAGCGGATGAAGTCCCCCGCAGCAGGTGTGAAGGCCCAGAAGAAATCCTCTCGCAGGTAGGCCTTCTCCAGAGTGAAATGCTGGTATGTCTTGAGGCTCGTGCTCACCTCAGCTGGTGGGTTTACGTGCTCCTTCCGCAGCGCCTGCTTCCCGAAGTCCTTATCCTGCAGCCAGGGAGGGACAAAGGTGTTAGGGTGGGCCCTGTCGGCCCTGCCGTGCCCGTACCCCACCCTAGGCTGGGTCCTCCTATACTTGGCTGGGCTCTCCAGGGACAGAGCCCACCTTTAGTTTCTGGATCTTGCCCGCCAGCGAGGAGTGAGTGCCCACGTGCTGGAAGAGGGATGGCTTGAAGCGGATCCTCAGGTTGGCCTTCTGCCGGTCACAGTGCTTCTGTGAGGGGAGTGGCATTGGAGAGCCCAGCTGAACCCCAACTACCAGTCCAGGGCGACCCCACCAGCGGTCTAGCCTCCTGTCAGCCAGGTGCACTGGGTACTGATGCGATTCATGCTGGAGGCTGTGTCCACCCAGCCCAGCTCCTGCTCACCGCATCCTTCTCAGGGTTGCAGACCTTCACCCACAGAATATGGTCCAGGAGCCAGTCTATGGGCTTGTCCCGGTAGAACATGAGTATGAACTCCACAATCAGGCTCAGGTCCAGGGACTTGAACATCTTCCCTGGGGGTGGGAGTAGGGCAGGGGTGGGGAAGGGACACTGAGTGAGTAGTATTGCTCAGCCCTCTTCCACTTGATCCCCCTGGCTGCCACCAGGGAGAATCTAACGGCACACACTGTGGACAACTACAGGCAGATGTGGGCACAGGACACAGATGGGAATGGTGAGCCCAGACAGCCAATGCCAAGGGTAGAGAGTGGAGACAGGCCCGGTGGAGCTGCTGCAGGCACCGGGTGCAAAGGCTCCCAGCAAACGGCTACCTGCTGCTGGGGCTGTGGAGCAGGGCAGGGGGCTGAGGTGAGGGCTCTGGTCAGCTGAGCGGGTAGCAGGTGGCATACCAATGAAGCCTAACTGAGAGAACTCCAGGATCATCCAGTCTTCCGAGGGCTGCTGCAGCGCAAAGTTCTTCATGGTGCTCAGGTAGTTGGGCTTGGCTACGATGTCATCCTCTAGCTGCAGGGTGGTGAACAGGATGTGGGTCAGCATGGGCACATACACAGGCATGTCACCCAGGTCCAGCCAGGGTGTGGGGGTGCAGCAGGCTGCAGTGGGCTCTCAGTGCTGACCTGAACATAGTAGATGCCTTTGGACTGTGCATACATCATGAGGAAGCAGTAATCGAGGTTCTGTTTGGTCCGCCACCTATGGGCCAGATGCAAGGGCCTCGGGAGCTCAGGCCCCTCCACTGGTCACACAGCTACCCCCGAGGCCACTGCGTAGGTAGAGCCCCACCCCCACCCCATACATGCAGGGATCCTCCAGCGGAGAAATGGAAGCACCACAAGGAATTGCCCGAGATTCAGACACCAAAGGATGGGATTCTCCACACAAGTGGGCAGTCTGCTGAAGGTGCAAGGCAGGGGTGATGGTGCTGGTACCTGACTCGCTCCTTGGGGTCCCCAAAGGACTCTCTGAGACGGGAAAAGTCAGGGTAGAAGTGGGGGGAAGGGGAGATGACCTCCAGGAGCCCAGAGTGGATCTCTGAGGGGAACCTGAGGGACAGGAAGGTCCAGTGGGTTTGTGACCTCCAATGGCTGAAGGGAGGCAGAGTGAGTTAGCCAGACTACCTCCCTTTCTTAACCGCATCTTCAGAAACCACATCCAGCGTACGGAGGCAATGGAGAGCCCAGCTGGGCCCCACCTAACTTGGCCAGGACAACCTCACCAGTGGTACAGCCTCCTGTCAGAGAGGCAGGGCCCCTTCTCACACCCAGGGCCCTGCCCTCCATCAGTTTAGTGGGACTGTCAGTACTCACAGGGCCTTGATGTTCTCTGTCACCACTGAGGTGTACTGCCCGTCAGTCTGTGGGAAGAACAGGCACACTCCCTAAGCCTGGCTGCCACCCCAAATGGTCTACAGGGAGGAGCCGGGGTGGGGGGGCACAGGCCTCAGAAGACTTCAGACACTGGGGGGTCAGTCCTCTTTGCTGGGGCTGAGTAAGGCTGGGCCTGGGGGCCAGAGGTACATCAGAAAAATGGCTCTGGGGCACTTGGGGACATGGTTAGGGTCCACTAGGTAGCTCTGGCATCTGCAGGAGGAGGCGCTAAAATGTTTCCTCCTTTTTAAATGTGTATGTAGATAATTCTGTGAATGCAACTGACCAACTTCTGATAATGTTTTCCTCTGGAATGGTGCCTATTTTGACTTTCAGCCAGGTGTCCTTGGAATTTGCTCCCTTGACCTTACACTTCCCCTTTTGCCCAGCCCCAGCCACTCACCTCTGCAATCAGCACCACAATGACGGAGTCCTCCTTCTCCTGTGGGCTCAGCTCCGAGATGAGTGAGTGCAGCGTGTCTGTCAGATAGGAGTGTACCTCGCGCCGCACGCTGGGAATGCCCATCACCACTGACACTGCAGCGGGAAGAGGGCCCAGACTGCTACCGCCCCAGGCCCCCTCGCTCGCCCGCCGGTGTCCCACCGCCATGGGTCCCTGCCTCCTCTACCTCCTGTGCGGCCCTGACCCACTCGCACCGCTGGCTGCAGGCTGCTTTCCTTGGCTAGGAGGTGTGGCAGGTGGTGGAAGACCGTGGGTAGGTGCAGCACGTGTTTGTGGGAGACGTTCCACGGCTTCAGCCTTGGGTCCTCTGG